GCCTGGATACCGCGGGATGCCACGGGATACCGCGCGATACCGCGCGATACCGTGCGATACCGCGCGATACCGGGGGAGCTGAGAGGATACCAGCGCGGTATCTCGCGGTATCCCGCCTTGTTCTTCTAGGTTTGCGGACAGGAACCAGGCACGATACCGCGCGATACCGGTTTTGGTGGCTCTTGGATATAAGGTTTGCAGAAAAAAAACAACGCGATACCGCGGGATACCGCTTGGCATCCCCCTGCAGCCCCATGCGCAAAACCATGCCGCGATACCACACGATACCGCGGGATACGCGCCGAAATTTGCTCCATCCTTCCTGTTTCCTGCCTTCCTTTTTCTCCGCTGGCTCGCTTTCACAGCCTCCCTAGCTCCTGAGTTTCCGCAGCCCTCTCGACGAGCCACCGAAGCCATGGCTGCTGTCGACACCGTGTTTTGCGCTCGCTGCAAGGGAAGTGTGGCGAGGGAGGACGCGGTCAAGAAGAGCACGCACACCTATGTGCACAAGGACTGTCACTCGTTGCAGGTCTACGTCGCCAGGTTAACCTGGCCGCAAGACTTGGCATTCGAAGGCGCCGAGAAAGAGGAGTTCTTCTCCAAGGCGTCGCGGTGCCGTGACCCGACAACCGGAAAGGTTTGCCTCAACAAGTTGAGGAACGAGGTCACAAGAATCCTCACAACGAGGAGGATCCAGCAGATGAAGGATAGCACTGTGTCTCCCTTTCGTCCGTTGGACTACTGGAAGACAATGGGGTTCGACACAGAGAAGATCCGGGCGAACTGCCCTTTCGAAGAGCATCCCCAGGGTCTTGGCCGCTGCTACCAAGTCTCCTTGCACAGCGAGGAAAGCAATAACATCTGCGAGCAAATGGCGCAGGAGTCCATGCGCATCGAGCTGAAGGCCCGTAAGCGCACGCTGCCGGCGGCGCCTGTTCCTCGTGCCCTGAAAAACAAGGCCACGGACGACGTCGAGGAGGCGGACAAGGATGCGGCAGCAGAAGTCCTAGCGGACTTAGAGGAGGCCCTTGCGGACTTGACGGAGGACGAAGAGGAAGTGCAAGAGGCCCGGAACCGGTCTAAAGCTGAGGCCAAGGACAAGAAGAAGCAAGCCGCGAAAGACAAGAAGGAAGCCGCCAAGGCCAAGAAGAAGCAGGAGCAAGAGGAGAGGAAGCGCCAGAACGAGCTCTTCAACCTGGCGAGCAAGGCGAACCGCTTCCTTGCACAGCCTCTGGTCAAAGTGACCAAGGCGAGAGACCTCGTTGCCAAGGACAAGACAGCGTCGGAGCTTGTACGCGAAAGCATTTGCTCCGCGCACACGCAGATGCAGGAGTGGCAAACGGCCGCGCTGCAGACAGTCTTGAAGCGGGCCAAGACGCCTGACGCTAAGCTTCAGGACCTGCCGTTCACCAACTTCAAGGAGCTGCAGCAGCAGGTCCAGGAGCACTTGACCCTGGCTGCCACTGTCAAGCCGCTGGCGAAGGCTAAGGCTAAGACCCGTGCCGGCGGCAGGAAGCGACCTCGCGAAGAGAAGGACGCCAAGGACGGCGAGGAAGAGTCCGACAAGGAGGAGAGCAAGGAAAAGGACGACGACAGTGTCAAGTGTGAGACCGCCGAGGAGACCCAGGTCACTGACGCGGCCTCCGCCGACAGCTGAGTCGGCCTGTAGTCCGCGCCTGCTTGCACGTTTGACGTCGTCGACATGCCCACCATGCACCTCAGCATGGCATGTGTGGGCCCCTGTCGCGGCAAGGAACACACGCGAGTCAGTGGAAGACAGCGTTCGTCTCCGAACGCACGCAAACAACGAGGGGGAAAAAAGGTGAACTTGTGCGTCGCATCCGAGCGCTGGCGCTTCTGCTACACGTTAAGTACTTGCGCTTGTGGTACACGTCATACAGTTGCGTTTGTGTTCAATGCTGAGCGCCTCACGCGCTGCATAAAGTGAGCCAACGCCGTGGATGGTCCAGTTGCAAGGCACATGCAGTTCCCTTTCACGCACAGTCACCGCAATGGCTGACACGAGGCTGACGCACTGCGTGGTGATAAGTGCATCCACCGAGGAAAACCTGAGGCATCAGCTCGAGAACATGTCCGCCGACACACTTCGGCTGCTGGCAACCATGACCGTGGATGTGCTGGCCGCGAGGGTCGTCACCGATACTCCCGGCGCACCTGCTGGACTCGGTGGCCAAGCGGCGGTTGGAGAGGGGGACTTCAGCATGCTGGGCAGTGGGCTCGCGGAGATAAACGTGGCGAGTGAGTTTACGGACTGACGTGCCAGCTCTGCCCATCGGTATGCTGTTTTTGGTAGGTCTGCAACGTTCGAAAGTCCAGAGGAAGAAAACCGGCACCCTTTTGCGGCTGCATCGAAACAGCGACAATGCTTCAAGCATGCAAGGCCCAAACTCCCGAGCGCTCGCGCTTCCGAGTGTGTACGTAAATTTTGACATAGATGCTATGCCGGACAGTTTGTTTTGTCGCAGCTTATATGGTTTCTAGACGCGGCGTCCCCCGCGTGGCTGCGAGCTCGCTTGTCTCGAACACGCAGAGCAAGAACATCGCCGCTGGCGCCCACGCACAGCTGCACCTGCGCGCTTAGAACGCCTGCATGGTTGCTGTTGACAGCGAGGAGACTGCGTGAGTATAGAGGCCTCGACGGACTGGGACCGGCTTTCTAGCCAGACGTGAAATTCATCCGTCTTTGCCAAGCATTTCGCGAATGCGCACACAGCACAGATGCTAGAGCGCGGAGCGCTGCCGCTGGATAGTATAAATCAGGTCTTCTGTGCAGGAGACATTCAAAACTTGCTGGCACTATCTTCTCAAAGCCTCGTCACCGAACCGCCGCCAGAGCCTCACGCTTGACCATGGTCTACGGCGTCTGGGCGGACATACACGACCGCGAGAAAACTCGACTCTACGTGGGCAACAAGGGTCCGCGCAGAGAACGCGAGGCTGGTGCTGCGCGTGAACCCCCAACCATACAGCATTTAATAACCCTAGACCCTATAGACGCCGAACCCTAAATCCGAAAACCATACGTAATACTTTACACAAAATAGAAATGTTTCGGGTCAGGTCCTTGTCGTGCGTGACCTGCGCACGTACTGCGTAGACACCCGGGCCAAGGAAGAGGAAGAGCAGAGCAACGTGGTTGCTGTGGAGGACTCGCCCGAGAAGGCCAGCAGCTCCAAGACCAAACAACAGGAGCCTGGCCTGAAAGAGACGCAGGAGGCGAGCCAGGCGGACAGCCTCACGAGGGAGTTGACGGACTTAGTGGCTGAAGCCCAAAGAGCTCAAGGTGATGCCGAAGTGGCGTGGGAGAAGGACTTGACTACTTGCATGGACACTAGCTACGAGCAGTGTGCTCTGGAAGAAAGCCTGCAGATGGCAAACAAGAAACAGAAGAAGAACGCTTGGAGTGCAAAGGCAAAGTCATGCCCAGCAGACAGCCGCCGAGGACAGAAGAACAAGAAAGACGTGTCTGAGGAAGAAGCGCAAGCTGGGAAGAAGGCACGACCAGCTGTGTCGTAAGAAGTCTACTGCAGGGTCAGTCGAGGCACAAAAAAAAGCGCAATGTGCTGCGGTGCATCTGTCGTATATGGAGTATATATAGGCCTTGAGCGCTTGCGCTGCGCCTGATGCACTGGACTCGTCCAGGCCCCAGCCATGACAGGGTCGACTGTCGAGCACATTCGGCTTTGAGCGCCTGCGCTACACGTGATGCAATGGACTCCTTGCAGGCTCTAGCAATGACAGAGTCGACTAGTAGCAGCAGCGCCAGAAAGAGACAGCGCGAGATCCGCGATGCCGTGCTGCCTTGTTTGGGCCACGCCGGCACGAACGCTGGTCACGTTGACCGAACGCTTCAGCGTTTGCACCAGGCCGGGATCGTGGAGAAGCCTCCAAGCAAAGGTTCGGTGCGACATCGTGACTACCGCATCCGAAAGGACTGGCTACAAGAAACAACAATGACAGCGACACTGCCCCTCACTGATGATCGGGAGCACCAGTGGCCAGTGGTGGATGTCTTGAAGGCCACCGAGGCCATGGCTGAAGCGAACCCCGCTTACGGAAAAAAGCTACTGGAAGCGGTTTTCCGCGTTGGTCAGGAGACCAGCATAATATTATACTGCGATGAGGCCACGCCTGGAAATCCCCTAGCCTCATGCGTGCAGCGCAAGGCGTACTTGTTCTACATTGGCTACAAATGTATGAGGCCCAGGCCTGGTTCCTGGATCACTGTGGCTGCGCTGCCTTCCAACCTCTTGATTGATGTCATAGGCGGCGTCGCTGGTGCAACCACAGTTTTGCTACGAGCCCTGACGCCTTGCTGGAACGGTCGCACACTGCTGATAGCAGGCCAGCGTATATTTTGCAAGCTGCGCCTGGAGGCTTTTTCTGGAGATGAAGCTGGTCTAGCAGCGTGCCTGGCTGCAAAAGGGGCATCCGGTAGACGACCGTGTTGGCTGTGCTCCAACCTCATCTCGAAGCTATGCCGTGATCAGTTGCTTGAGAGGGGGCAGGCAAATGTGCTGAACAAGTTCGTGACCATTGACGAAGCTGTTGCTGGGACTTGACTTGGCTTCTTTACTTTACGCCGTTTTCTCCGTTTAGGTCTGGGTGTTTGGGCTTCGGGCGTTCCGGGTTTCAGCGTGTGTCTATATGCTCAGGACAAGACAAAGTACAGTCCGGCGACGGACACCAGCATATATGCTGCCTTGGACTCTTTGAGCGCTTGCGCTGCTGTGGAGACCAAAGGCGCTCTCGAAGATCTCAGCAAAAATCTGGGATGGAGACACGAACCGCGAGGACCCCTGGCACAGCCAGAACTGCGTAGCTTGCTTCGGCCAGCCGCTACAGTCTTCGACGTGCTGCAACTGGATGCAATGTAGCATATGTTTGGCTTAAAGTGGGCATGGGCTAGTCGCCTTTTAGATGCTATTGATCCGAGGCACTGCTACTACTCGGGGGGGATTGTCGCCCAGGAAGTTTGTATGCTGCTGCAGGCCTTCAACCAGCAAGGACTGAGCAACCAGGCCCTGCAGGAGCAGCTGAGCGCTCCACTGGAGTTTCTGCACAACCGCCCAAAGTTGAGAACTCTGGACAAGAACTTCTTTTCAGAAAAATTATGGAAAGCAGATGGGCAGGATCAAGTGGCCATGATGCCACTGCTTCATTTTTACATCGTCTCCGTCCTCGATGTTGACATCAAAGACAAGCTCTCTGAGCAAGTACACTGCTTCCAGCTGCTGTGCAAGCGGGTTTTTTATCTGGAAGCGCTTCGCATGAGCAGGGACAGTGCACTACTTCCCTTGCTGGAGTCAGCGGAGAAAGAACACCACGAGGCATTTGCGACTGTGTGGGGCCTCGCAGAAATGAGACCGAAGCATCACTACAGCCGACATCAGGTGCAGCAGTTTCGCCAACATGACGAGATTATAGACACCATGAACACTGAGCGAAGACATCAGATCTACAAGACACTCTGCAACAACAAAATCAAAGATGTCAGGCACTTGGAGTGGGCTGTACTTGCTGGCTCCTTCTTTAACGAAAAGGAAGTCTTGGAGGCTGCGACATGGAATCTGTGCGTCACGACAGTGGAAAATGGTCGAAAGGCTGCTGTGTGTGCCTGGCGTCGATACATCGTGGGCAATCCTATCGTTGTGTCAAACCTGGAGACGTGTGGGGTTATTGAAGACGTGCAGCAAACAGAAGCAGGAACCCTCTTGGTGCTCGCGATGTACAACCTGGCTGCAGTGATCGACACAGGAATCATGCAGTGGACGCGCAGTGATGTACAAAGAAGCCTCGAGATTGCGGAGGACCAGAGAAACGTCCTCCTGCCTGCGTGCTGGAAGTTCGCCGGGCCGTCGCTACTGACGTTGTGGTGAAGAAACGGAGTACCGAGCGCAGCGCGCTTCTGCATGACTGATAAAGGTGGTCAAAGATAGACTTCATCTCATGTCTGGTATAGGTAGACAATCTCACTGCTCCGGGAAGGAACACACTACACTTGCCCCAAAAACGTATAAAACCCAGTATATTTTTCAGCCTCCGGCTTGAACGCATGCATTTTCTGGCAAAAACAACATAAAGTGCATCAAATTAGAAGGTCTTATGTGGACATGGTTCATGTGCCAAAACAACAAAACAAAACACAAAAAATAACTTAACTTGAACTTAACTTTTACTTAACTTTTACTTAACTCTGGTTTTTACATGCCTCAAAAGCTAAGTAGCTAAGTTCGCTAAGTTCCCGGATAAGTTATGTTAGCGCGCTTCAAAAAGTGAACACCGACAACATGCCAGCGAGCCCTAGCGTAGCGCGCCTAAACGCCACAAGCCTGTCGAGGGGGGCCAGTGTGCCAGTGACAGTGCAACGTGGGAAAGCTGCAAAGCTCGCCGCAGGCACGTTGCGGCACCTCCCGATGGCCCGGCCAAGAAGGTCTATCGTTCCGCAGTCCTGGCGGATCAGCGCTACGCGAAGAAGCGATTCTACCCAGATGCACCACGGCGCGCCCGAGCGTCAGGGTCGGAACTGCTCGCACCCGTCGACAACGACTGCGACCTCCCACCGGCGAGCCGCTCCGATGTTTCCATCGGCCTGCAGCGCTGGTGCACAGAGGGGGCCTGGGGAATGTGTACAAGCTGTCAGATGCTGCAGATGCGCCCGCTGCGACCTAGAGACCTGCAAGCAGAGGAACAGAGGAACACAAGCCCGAGGTTCCTCGTTCCAGCTGCCGCCGCTGCGGCGCGAAACATCCGCACGTGGTGCCGCGCCCAGAGGACGTGCCGCTGCCATTGCGCGAGCTGCCCCACGACGTCGTCCAGGCACTTCGCCCTTTGACGATCAACGTGGGGCCGGTCACCCGCGCGGACAACGGCTATCGCAAAAAGGTTCGCATGACGACCTTTTCCTGGGGGCTGGAGAAGGTCGACGTGAAAGTCGAGAAACTACCTAAGGAGTCACGACGCCTCGCGCGTGCTGCGCTGAAGTTTCTGCGTCGGTCGTCGGACAGTCTGTATGGGCATTTTTACGATCGCCACTGCTCCTTCTTGGACCAGAACGCTTCTGGGCCCACCCCGGAGGTGGCTCGCAGACCACTCCAGTTCATTGAGGAGCCTGGCCTCGAGAACGCTCTCTGGCCGCACTTGTATTGGGATGCTAATATGTGCGAGTCTTACGAGCGCCTCAATCGGCGCCGCTTCCGGCAGCTAGCCGCCACCGAAGATCCGCAGGGCCAGGCCGAGACTAGCGATGCCGACGAGGCAGAAGATGTCGACGATCGCCGTCACAGCATCAAGCGTTCCTTCCTCTGCAAACTGCTCAGTCCCCTCCTTGGGTATGGATCCGACTTCGAGCTTCTGCAGTTCGTGTATGACCTGCATCTGTGGACGGATCTGGGAAGCAAGCGCAACGTGGCGGACGGAACCGCCATGCGGATCATGATGCGCGGACACCCGATGTCTCCGCTCTACTGGAAAGATGTGAAGAACGGCCTGCATGACCTCGTCCGCCAGATAGGCTACCCTCACCTGTATTGGACGCTGGCACCTTACGAGCGCAGCTTTCCGTACCACGCTTACTTGCTCGACGAGATGCAGAAGCTGCTGCGCGAGCGAATGCGACTGCCTGCCTTCGAGTGTCTGCACCTCACGCACACGATGCTGCAGGTAACTCGCAGTCTTCTGGCCGGGCGCGGAAGGCATCGCGGCACGGGCTGGACTCGGCATCTGCTGGGGAAGGGGCAAGGACTAGACGGCGTGCATTTCTTTACGCGCATCGAGTTCCAGGATGGATCCAAGAAAGCCGGTACACAGCAGTATCACGGCTCGGGCCGTCCACATGTGCACGCACTGTTCTGGCTGCGAGATCCTGCGGCAGTTGACCTGGGGTCAATCGCAGCAGCAACTGAAAATCTCCCAGAAGCCGAGAACGATCTCGCCGCATTCGTTCGAGGCTCGCAGCGTGATGATGCCGGCGAGAGCCGCTGGCCGGTGCATGACGGTCCGCCGCAGTTTGACCCCGTCACGGGTGGCTGGACCCTTCCTCACACGCCGGACGACGCCGACCAGGGCGTTCGCGGGTACTTCCTCGACATCATGGACGCTCTGCGCTGCCATCAGGACTTACAGTGCAGACAGGGACGTGGTCTCTTGCTGGCGTACGTGGCCAAGTATGTGGCCACATGGTCCGACTCCTCGTACGACGAGTGGATGTCGGACGCGAGCAGCGTCACGAGCCTGTGTCGGAAGATACTATTCGAGTATCACCCGCTCGAGCCTGAGATGGTCCTGCAGCTGACGCAAGGTTTGCGTCAGTGGGAGTTTGGAACTGTCCAGACTGGTCGCCGGTCCGTACGTGCGCCGCATCCCTGGGACGAATCAGCTCAGCAGCCCTTGTTCGTACAAAAATACATGGACTGCGCCTGGCGTGGGGAGACCATGTCCCTGCTGGAGTATCTGCGTAAAAGTGGGCCGCACGGTGAGATCGCTGCATGGCTGCGGCAGCGACACGAGGAGGCGCAGAATGCTGGCACGCAGGTGGACCTGGAAGAATTCGTGCGAGGGTACATGATGCGTGGAGAGCAAGTCGTGGCAGTCGATTATTTGTGGCGGCTGAATGACCGCTTCTTCGGTCAATGGTGCATGATGCACCTGCCTTTTCGATCCTTGGAAATCTTCCGGACCGTCCGGGGTGTAGACAGTGTTCCGGATCGTTATCGTGGGTTTGCCACGGCTCTTCTGCTCACAGACAATGCCGATGGTCCACATCGGGGGCACTGGCGTGATCTGGGTAACTTGGTCCGGGACATGCAGTTGGAGGGGCACACGGACGCAATTATCCGGGACACACGGCTGTTTTTGGAGGCTGTCACAGTCGCTGTGAACGCATACATCGACGGCCGCATCGACAAGACGGAGGAAGACAGTGTGGGCAAGCCTGTGGAGCAAGCTCGCCTTGGCCTGTTCGAAGGCCAGCAGCTGCTGTTTTTCAACGCCATACAGGAGCGAGTGACTCGCTCCCTGCAAGCACAGCAAGCGACGGACGACACAGACGTTGAACGCATCTTCTCGCAGCTCCGGGATCTGCAAAACCGGCCCTTGATTTGCTCCGGCAGGCCGGGCACGGGGAAGACGACGGTGGCCTTGGAATGTGCACAGTGTGCACTGGCCGATGGCGCGGCAGTGCTGGTGACCTGTCCCACAGCTCGGATGGCAGGCCGCGTGCGCCAGCGGCTTGGCGACCACGCCAATTTGGTTGTCGACACGGCTGCAGCCGCGTTTCAATTTCATCTGCCTGAGCAGGAGGCGGCGTACGTCTTGTGCGGATACACGCTGGTAATTGTCGACGAATACTCGCAACTCGGTCTGGAAGACTTTGAGCGCGTTCTCCGGCTGTGGAGCATGGCGGACCGTGTTCCTGCGATGGTTTTCCTCGGAGATAAGTACCAGCTGCCGGGCGTGGCACCACGGCGGCCGTGGGAAAGCACGGCCTGGAAGTCGTGTCAAAGGATGGAGCTTGCCAAAATCTATCGCAGTCATGACCCTGCTTTTCTGCAAACGCTGGCTTTGCTGCGATCCAGCATGCCAACGAAGACAGAGGTGAATAAAATCTGCCGCGGCCATAAGGCCTGGTCGGGCAAAGAGCCCACTGTGGAAGACATGGAGCGACTCCTTCACGAGTATCCCACGGCCACATATGTTGCGGCCACAAGGAGTGGGGTCGCTTTGATCAACAAGCTCGCCCTGGCAGCTTTGTACCCTGGCGTCAGCCCCGCAGCCGTGCTGCCCGGCGCTTATGAGGACAACCCGGAAAATTTCAACAACAGTTCCTTGCGCCTCGACCGACAGCCTGCGCCTACCGATGTGGAGATTTACTTGGGCGCTCGCATCTACCTCACACGGAATGTTCGGAAGACGGATGACTTTGTCAATGGCATGGGCTGTACTGTTCTGGAGTACGAGGCGGCCACCCGAGTGCTGTGGGTGCGAACGGACACCGGAAAGCGACTGCCCGTCACCCCCTGGCATGATCCGGAATTTGCAGGGCTGGTCTACTATCCACTTCGCTTGGGCTACTGCAGCACCATCGCAAAAGTGCAAGGCGACGAATTCTCTTTCATCATTATCTACTTGGACGTGCCAAACTTGCCGGCAGTAGGCTACACTGCGCTGAGCCGGGTGAAAGATGCTCAATCCTATCTTCTGGGCGGCGTGCTTACCCCGGAGCATTTCACCCCTGTAACACTGCGATGAACCTATAGTGGCATGGGCGGCACTGTCAGATGCTCGTCACCGGCGCTGCTTAGGGATGACTTCTCGCTCGCGGCGAAGCCTGCGAGCGTGTCTCGCCGACTTGCGGATTTGTACGGCGCGAGGAAAATCAAATCTGCATTGCTTGCGTGCTCCATTGTACTTTGAATGTTATGGCAGGGACGGCTCTTCAGAGAGAGCGGGAAAGACAGGAGAGGGAGACAGAGAGAGAGAAGGAGAGAGGGAGAGAAAGAGATGGGCGATGGGAGGGAGAGAGAGAGAGAGAGAGAGAGAGAGAGAGAGAGAGAGAGAGAGAGAGAAGGAAGTGCGTGTGACAAAGAGAAACTCAGTCTCTGTGGTTCGATCGGCATGGTTACCTCGTTTGGCTCACAGAGGCTCCAGTCGGGCGTCTTAGCAGTAGCCGAGGTAGCCAATTGCAAGATGAGCAGCAGACACGTCCATCTGTACTTGCCTGCGCCCCGCCGGGTTGCCACCAGGGTTAGCCCCCGCAACGGTTGCCCCCGCCAGGGTTGGCCTTGCCAGGGTTGCCTTGCCCCCGTTGCCCCCGCCAGCGTTGCCCCCGCCTGGGTTGCCCCCGCCATTGCCTGCTTCCTGGCCAGAAAAACGAGGCAACATTTCGGCACAGCTACCCAGCCCTGGCCTGCTTCTTGATGTGTTCAACACTTCCCCGCCAGGGTTGCCCCCGCCAGGGTTACCCCCACAGCGTTGCCCCTCAGGTCACGTATACTCAGGAATTGTGTGTGACGGCCCAGCCATCTTATGAAGGAAACATAGGCCTCCTTTCGTCTCGAAGTGCCATGTGACCCCAGATGCTTCTTCGTCCCTCTCTATGAAGGGCCCTGCCAAAGTTCTCTGTAAGTTGCCCTCGCCAGGGTTGCCGCCGCCAGGGTTGCCCCCGCCAGGGTTGGTTGCTACTCGGGAAGTACCGGAAGCCGAAATGTCTGTTTCTGTTGCTCTCTCTCTCTTGCCCAACACTCTCGCCCTCCCTCCCTCTCCCTCATCCTCTCCTCCTGGCTTCCGAGCTCTCGACTGGCCGTTGCTCAGGCTGTTGCGAGCTTATGGCCAGCGCAAGAAAACAAAGGACGGTGACTGACTTGACAACCGCACTTGAGTCTGCTGAGGTGGGACTCCCTGTTCCCCCGGCCTCTCCGTGTCGCTGCAGCGCTCTTTCCAGGACACAGCTCTGGTCGAAGAACCGCCTGCACGCATATGCATCTTCTGCATGCTCATGTGACTTGCAGCTGTTCGTGCTGGCAGCATGCACTCATCAACCTGTGGTTTGCTGGTTTTCGTGTTCAAGGCTTGGCGAGGCTGCAGTCAGAACATTGTGCTGTCGTGTCGGGGCACAGACCTCCAGTTGCCCCATGTGGCGTCACATGTTTTGCGCAGTCTGAGCTTTGAAGTGCAGGCCTAGGCTCCGAGCAGGCATGTCTCAGAACAGGGTGCTGTCCAGGAGCCCGCGGAGCGTGCTGATGGCCCGGCCGGAGTGCAAATTCTGCATAGCGAGCTGCAGGGAGGCAATGTGCTCTTCTGAAAGAAGCTCCTGGCGCCACTGTTCACGGCCTAGGGCGTGGTGTAACAGGCAGGCAATCTCCAGCAGGGGGCATGTGCGGGCTTCCCGACGCCAGGCCAGCGCCTCATTGCGCTTCATGTTCAACCAGATGCACCGTATCCACCGACCTGCGCGTGCTCCCAAAACGATTTTGTCGCCCGGGAACCAAATCCGGCCAAGCTCCAGGCTCTTCGCGTTGATCTCCTCCTTCAGCAGGGCTTGTACTGGCTTCAGTTCCCACGGCTTACGTTGGTAGGGTGGAAGGCCGTGTGAGCACAGAGTCCACGCAAATGCAAACGTGGAACGGAAGGTGCTCTGCGCGATGCCTGCTGCACGCATCTCGCGGCGAATGGCGGCCAGGACGTACTGCCCAGAAAACTTCTTGGGGCAGTCGTAGGCTGCATGGCAGAGAAACCCCACGCGCAGCATGCACTGGTACTTGGCCGGATCTCCTGGCGACTCATACACCGCCTGCTGGCATTTTTCTGCCATTGCAGTTGCCAGGCCACGGACGTTGAGCGTTGGCACGCGAAGCATGTACCGCAAATATTCTGGAGTCCTATCCTCACACAGGGAAAACCGAATCCTGTCTTCCTGCTCGAGTTCTTTCTTTGGCTGCGCGGCGCCCTCGAGGTCCAAAGCTGCCACAGCCGGCTCCGTGTGGTCCAGGAACTCGATCAGGTCGGCGTTCAAGGTCACGAAGACTGTGTCGCCATCCGAATCTCCGCCAGACAGCGCCGTGACGCCAGGCCCACGCACTGTGCAGACGATGCAGTTCCTCGGCGGGGCGCGTTGGTGGGCAGGCCATTCCTTTGCCTCCCATACCTGGATGTCTCCCGGTTGCACGACCGGGCTGCGCCACACGGCAACCCTACCCACGATGTTGACGCCGTTCGCGAAGACATAGCACTGCTTGTCCTTCGAGCTAGGCCGTTCCACAGGGTGTGTGCGGGGTTAGTTAGGGTTTTGCAGAGATGCCGCCTGCCTCAAGTCCCTTCCAGATGTCGGGCAGCGATGTCAGAACCCATGCGCCTCCGGGCAGGACGAGCTGAGGGTCGTGTCTGCACTGCGTCAGGAGGCCGTTGAATGCGCCACCGCCTCCGAGAACTGCCCGCTTGGTTCCCCGCGCCAAGTCCCACGGGTGCATCTCCTCGACTTCCTTGGTGAGCTGGGCCAGATCGCTCTCCACCTCTTCTTCATCGGCTGCGGCTCGGACTGTGACCTCGTGTTTCCCGACCCGATTGACAAACTGCCGTTCCTCGTTCATCTCCGCCTGGCGTTTGTCGCCCCGTGTGGGGGCTGGCGGAGACAAACGCTTCACGGCTTCTGCTGGAGCTTCGAGAAGGCTGTTCTTGATGCCCCATGCCATGCTCGCGAAGTGAAGCACGGTGGCAGCTTGCAGTGTCTGAAGCCTGGGCAGCTGGACATGACTATAAACTCGTGCTCTCAACCCCCTCTGCTCATGTACACGTGTCCTACGTTCTTGCTTTTCCAGACGCTGTAGGCTAATGTTATGGTACTGTTCTTCACTAATTGAAAGACAACGGTCCACCAGCTATATGATGTCTGGCCAGCGGAGCGGCAATGTGTCCAGCAGGCCCAGCGCGACCACACGGGCAGCCTCTGTCTTATAGGCCATAGCCCGCATGGCGAGCGCGGCTGTGGTTTGACAGTTTATCCGCGCGGCCTGCATGGCTGCCTCCGTGTTCTGTGTTAGGTCGAGCCCGAGGTGCTCTGACGAGACAGGGCTCAGGTAGTGCATGTGCAGTTTGCTGCAGCTCCTCCGGATGTGGAGCCCGTCTTTTCTGCGGCAGTCGATCATCAGCATGCCTTTCACGAGCACATGCCACAATGGCCCGACGCGGAGAAGGCCACGGAACTGTGTCGGCGAGTACGAGTTGATGTCAGTCTCGCTCTTGATGAGGCCCAGCCGCACAGCCGCCGCCGTGCCCACATCAGACGCGCCGTCCGTGGTCGGGTCCTGGGTTCGGTCCTCCCCGGGGTAGTCGTCCTCCACGATCTCCACTCGGAACCCACATTGTGGCACCACACACGGAGTGCTGGGCGACAGCAAGAGTGGTAATCTGCTGTAGGCCTCTTGCACATTCTGGGCGGCCGTCAGCAGGCGCATGGCGGAGACGCTCTGCCGCAGAGGCTGGCTGGCGTAGTAGGTCAGGCCATCCTCTTTGCCCACTACGGCTTGCAGCGTCGGCCGCACTGTGTCCGCGCGGACTCCCTGGATGATCAGTGGCACCAGCTGCTCCGGTTTGCGCTTTCCGCATTTCCAGTCCACACTAGCTATGTCTCCTATCTCACGGGAGAGCCTACTACTGTCCAGCTCTGTTGGGAGAACAGCTTGCATGTCCGCGGGCACGAAGCGCACAGGCGCCGACTTGGAGCCTAGCCGCCGCCGCTTCAGGTCCGGAGCGACAGTGGCGCTCACATCCTCGCCCCCGGCATCAACAGTGTCCTCCTCGGCATCCCAGTCAACATCACTGCCGGGGTCGCTGGCCTGGCGCTCTGGAGCGGGCAGTACCTGGTAGACGTACAAGCCGACTTCCTGCACAAGCTTGGCACGCTCCAGCGCGGGCAGCCTCGCGGGGCGTCTCACGCGCAGATGTGTGCAGTGTACTTATTTTGAACCTTTTACACATCTTTACAGTCCAAACAAGGAGGGGTGCACCGTTTCCATTGTTGCACGCGCCTGCCTTGCGAAGGGCTTTAGCGGTCCGGCCAGCTTCCACGGCATTTTGGCTGGACGCCCGTTCAGGAACTGCGTCAGCGTCGAGGGCGCCAGCTGTGCCAAGGCCTTGCGCCACGCAGCCTTCTCGAACGTGCTGCCGGTGCCTCGCAGGAAGGAGGACTCACTGGCCGCTTCGTCCTGCAGCCCCACCCAGAAGGAGTCCAGCACAACCAGCTCATGCTCCGGGCCTACTTTCCGCGGCAACATCTCTCTGGCTGGCCCCGACTACACCAAAGAGAAAAAGAACCTTGCAAGTTCTTTCAGAAGAAAAGGGGCGCAGCAGGACTACGCAGTGTCGCTTTAAGCAGCATGACAGAATCATGACAAACGGAACTGCCCGCATGCTTCAAAAAACACAAAGCTTGGAAGTCCAAGGTCTTCTTCAACAAGACTTGACGAGAACACCAGACTCTTGCAGATGCAAGGAGGTTGGCCCCCCCAGGAAACGCTGATCTCCCAGCTCCTGCTGCAATTGCCGAAATCCTTGCCCGGGGATACCCCTGCGCAACAAGCCCCGGCCTGGACGGGTGCGACCACGCCGCCCCCCGGCCTGGTCAGGCAAGATGCTTGCCGCTCCCCGGCCCTTCATGGCCCTTCCAAGCGAGAAAATACGGTGAACTGGAGAAAAAGACAGGCCCCGGCCTCGACGAGTGCGGCCGCGCCGCCCTCCGGCCTTGACAGGCGAGA